TCGCGAACGACGAGCCAATTTGACATCTCTAATATTAATATATAAAAATAATATTATATATTAATTATATAACTTATATTATATAAATATTCAATATCTATATTAGTATATTACTGCTATAGTATATTAATATATTATTATTATTATTTTATTATATATTATAATTTATAAAATTTAATGTTTTAAAATATAATAAATTTTTTATTATTTTATATTTCAAACAATAACGATTCAAACACGAACGAACGCATCACTGTTCGTGTTTGGTTCGTTTAACTAACCGAACGAAAAAATTTTGTTCGTGTTTGTCTCGTTTACTTATCGAACGAATCGAACACGAACTCATTGACGAACCGAACACGAACTGTTCGCGAACAACGAGCTTTTTGACAGCCCTACTCCACTCCCATTGGTTTACACTTCGACACCCGAAAGGACCGGTTAGCCCCTTATATGTCCTATGCACCCAAGCGTCCCGCGTTCCACCCGAACAGCCACGTCATAAATGATATTGAGAGAAGAAAATTTTTATAATATTGAATGAATATGTTGAGCCCATATATAAGCATATAGAAAAATACAAATAAAAGTAGTAATATCCTGAATGATATAGCAACAACAACAACAATTTTTTATCCCACTAAGTGGGGTCAGCTACCTTTTTATTCATTGCGTCCTATTGAGTGTGATTTTTTCATTTAATCTTTTTTTATACAATATACCCAAGTAATATCCCTAACGATGCGGATATAAAATCATATCCCCTAATATAATCACTTTCTGATGCAAGAAATACATATATTTGTTAGCCAAGCTTGCTATATAAATCGGAAAAAGGTAGATGACCTAGAATTTCAATAAAATTCGTCACTTGTTCTGAATTAGAAATATAAGTAATATTTGCTTGCAAAGAACACCATGTTTTAAATGGCACGCAACTTCATTATATTTATTTTGCTCATAAGAAATAGAATAGCAGGATATGTAGATGGCAATGTGATTATCGCAATATTATGTCATAGTGTGAGAAACAGGTAAAATCAAACTCTAATAGAAAAGTATTTTTATTTTGCATATAAAATGAGTCGCAATGTTATAATCAGCTTCTGCATCAAACTAGTCACTATAGTCTATTTTTAAATTTTTATGGATAATTGAATTACCTTAAAAATAAGATATAATGGCCTAAGATAGACTCCCAGTATTTACATGTGCAATGTAATCAGCATCTAAGAAGGTTGCAATATTCAGGTGCTCAATTTTTAACATATAGAAACCATTTTTTAAAGGACACTTGGGACATGAATGCGTTTAAGAATAAGTCTAAGAAAAGAGAATTAAACGCTTGGCCCAAAAAGGGTTATAGAAAAGCTTACTAATTAAGATCTAAACCCTAATGATAGCATTTGATATGGAAGAAACTATTTGAGTCATTCATCATCAAACATGCATTAGTCTTCAAAAGGATACCAGCAACATACAAGAAGGCAGGATTATTGAAGAAGTTCAATAGCATTTTTTTTATACTCCATTTTTATTTATAATTATAAGCACAATTGCAAGTAGAGTTGTAGCATGAAGAAAATTAGTCATTTCAAGAATGATGACTTTCTTATCATTACAAGTAAAACGGTATCATAAAAAACTAGTACGATGAAAGCATAAAAATGTTTATTTGACAAAGATAAAATGATATAGTGTTGCTGCAAAAATCAATTTTAACCAAAACATACCCTTAAGGTGACAATTAAAAATTAAGCCCTTATTGTCAAGAATTCATAAATTTGATCAGTTGAAAAATATACCCATATTTCCCATGACAGATTCAAAATCAAGATATTACCAGTTAAAGGTGAAAAGGGTGTGGCAAAGGTAACATTCAGTACAGGTTATGGTCATTATGACTAACGCACTTGTAGTGTTTACGGGCCATATGAATCTGGCGTTTCAAAAATTTTTAGATTGATTTACTGATATATTTATTGATGATATATTAACATTTCAAGAGCTAAAGAAGATCATGCAACTTATTTAAATTTGATATAGAAGATATTATGAAAGAATAAACTATTTGTTAAATTTACAAAATTTGAGTTCTAATTACAAACCATTTCATTTTAAGGTCATGCAATGAGTAGAGATAGAATAGTTGTAAACCCAAGGAATTGGGCTGTCAAAAAATCTCATTTGTGAATTACTCATGTTCGGTTCAATAAGAAGCAAACTCAATTTAAAAACAAGTCAAATACATACAAACCTTTGTTCAAATGTGTTCAACTCGTTTTAGCCTGAATTTATTAAATAAATAAATAAAAATATTTAAGCATATTTATACTCATTTATATTGATTTTTTATGGTGTATTCAAAAAAGTATTAAATTTTATTATTTTTAAATCAATCAATCTAAATTTGAGCAGAACGAACAAATGAATTCAAATTGGGTTGAAAATGAACATGCTATCCAAGAGCCATTTTGAACACGAGCTTACTTCAAACAAAAAAATTTGGAAAGAGTCGAACACAAACAAAAATTGAGCTCGCCCAAGTTCGGTATGTTTACCCCCTACCAGAGAATGTGTAAGTTATGACTGAAAGAACGAGGCCTATTAATATATTAAATGATACTAGAGGTAACACAAATCACAAGAAAGTAAACATTATAATTGCAAAACCAAGAAACGACAACAACCACCACACAAAAGGGAAAAATAATAACAAACACAACACAGGATTTTAACAAGGAGTGTGTATTCCAAATGAGGTGGCGGTGGATTGGAGGGTTTGGTTGCACTTGGAGGGCAAGGCTGATGTTGGGGAATGGTAGGGGAAGGGCAACAGAGGAGGTGGTTGGCTGTGGTGGCTAGGAAGCCGGTTTGTGTCATGACTCGGCCAGAAGCTTGGAATTAACCAAAACGAGAACTGACGATCGGACAATAAGAACAAAATTTTCTATATTCATTAATATTTAACAAATGAAGGAATCACTAATCAAATTAAATTAAATTAATGTATTTAAATTTATCTTGTTACTGGTTGTACACGTCTTCTATAAATAGCATCCCTTCTATCACTCATATTTTAATCACTTAGTAATCATGAAAAAGTTAGTTTAAAATAACGAGTCAAATAAGTCATTGAATACCCACACTCTTAAACTACAGTAATACAACGAAAAAGAAAAAATAATTTTCATGTCAGTTAAGCTTTTAAAAATCAATATAAATATTATTATAAAAATGATGTTATTCAATGAATCTTATTATATCACTAGCAAATATATATTATTCTATATTTACATAATCATTACAGGAACATCGTCTAAATATTTTTATCAATTAAGATACTTCAATATCAATATCTTTTTTTCATATACGTGCACAAGTAACTTAGCATTCCTCCGCTAGTACCATAAATGGGCGATTCCATCAAAGCCAAACATACATATATAAGCAATTTATACAAACCATATCATTCACAATTTCATTCCTCTCTGGTAGGCAACTTTTCGATTCCTCTCCCGATAAATGAAATGGGATTTCACAGCTTGAAAGGAGGACTGATTGAGGGAAGTTGCAGAGGAATAGCAACATAGAAGGCGATTCGATGTGGTAGGTAGAAAGGTGGAAGGCTAGACAACAGCTAGGCCACAAAGGAAGGGATTCTGGAAGGCAGTGACAGCGGATAGGTGGCCAAAGAGGGGGACAACTAGCTATCGGAAAGGCAGCGTAGAGGGATGACAACAAAATGGGAGGAGGCTGAAGGAAAACAACAAGGTGGTTGATTTTCAGGTGGTCGAAGTGAATATGGTGACGGCAGCAGCGAATGGAAAGTTGCGGGGTATGGAGGTTGAGAATACA